CACCTAATTAGTAAATAGAGGCCACCTGTGTGTGTGTGTGTGATTTAATCTCGGTATAAATACATCTGTTCTGTGAAGCCCTCAGAGGTTTGTTAGAGAACATTAGTGAACAAATAGCATCATGAAGGTCAAGGAACACACCAGACAGGTCAGGGATAAAGTTATGGAGAAATTTAAAGCAAGGAGTATGGCACAATTGCAAACCTACCAAGAAATGGCCGTCCACCTAAGCTGAGAGGCTGGGCAAGGAGAGCATTAATCATAGAAGCAGTCAAGAGGCCCATGGTAACTCTGGAGGAGCTGCAGAGATCCACAGCTCAGGTGGGAGAATCTGTCCACAGGACTACTAGGTTGCACTTCAAAAATCTGGCCTTTATGGAAGAGTGGCAAGAAGAAAGCCTTTGTTGAAAGAAAGCCATAAGAAGTCCCATTTGCAGTTTGTGAGAAGCCATGTGGGGGAGACAGCAAACATGTGGAAGAAGGTGATCTGGTCAGATGAGACCAAAATTGAACTTTATGGCCTAAAAGCAAAATGCTGTGTGTGGCAGAAAACTAACACTACACATCACCCTGAACACACCATCCCAACTGTAAAACATGGTGGTGGCAGCATCATATTGTGAGGATGCTTTTATTCAACAGGGACAGGGAAGCTGGTCAGAGTTGATGGGAAGATAGATGGAGCCAAATACATGGCAATCTTAGAAGAAAACCTGTTGGAGTCTGCAAAAGACTTGAGACTGGGGCAGAGGTTCACCTTCCAGCAGGACAACGACCCTAAACATACAGCCAGAGTTACAATGGAATGGTTTAGATCAAAGCATATTCATGTGTTAGAAGGGCCCAGTAAAAGTCCAGACCTAAATCCAATTGAGAATCTGTGACAAGATTTGAAAATTGCTGTTCACAGATGCTCTCCATCCAATCTGACAGAGCTTGAGCTATTTTGCAAAGAAGAATTGGCAAAAATGTCACTCTTTAGATGTGCAAAGCTGGAAGAGACATCCCCAAAAATATTTGCAGCTGTAATTACAGCAAAAGGTGGTTCTTCAAAGTATTGACTCGGGGGGCTGAATACAAATGCACGCCACACTTTTCACATATTTATTTGTAAAAAATGTTGAAAACCATTTATCATTTTCCTTCAACTTCACAATTATGGGCCACTTTGTGTTGGTCTATCACATAAAATCCCAATAAAATACATTTGTTTTTGGTTGTAACATGAAAAAATGTGGAAAATATCAAGCGGTAGGAATACTTTTTCAAGGCACTGTAAAAATACATTTAAAAGAGGAAGTACTCACCTAGGTGGATGAAAGATTGATCCGATACTACATCTGTCCACCACCAGCTCTGTAGTGAGATCTTAGCAATCAGACACTGTTGATTTGCTCATTTCTGCCCCTCAGTTCTGCCCTCTCCTCTGAGCAGAGAGCGGTGACTGTCAGAGTTTTACATACATATATTGTACATTCCCATCAGTCCCTAACCCTCAAGGGGCGTACAATCTTAGGTCCCTAACTTACATTCATACATACACATACTAGGGCCAATTTAGACCAGAGCCAATTCACCTACCAGCATGTCTTTGGAGTACCTGGAGGAAACCCACGCAGTCACAGGGAAAACATGCAAACTCCAGGCAGGTGGTGCCATGATTGAGAGTATTGTGCGGTGGGGGGTGCTAGGTGCTGGTCTAGGCTTCTAGGTGGATTGCGATCATATGGTTGGGATATTTTTCAGAGCCTGGACTGGCTGAGTGATGTTGGCTGACAGTGAACTTTAGATTTCGCTATACTTCTCCTTTTAAATGATTTTAATATACATGTCCATTGATCAGGATTGTAAATCTGCATACAGAGTACTGTTTTAAACCAGATTCATATCAGAACTATTTTAAAGGATAAATAACACTATTTTGTTAACCAGATTTTTGAAATATAAACCATTTTATCTGTTACAATATAATGCAGAGTATGTATCTCACATAATTGTCACTTCCTCACAGTCCTGATGTAACCGACAAAGAATGTGGACTGGGTGTTATTTAGTGCATTTTATGGTCCACCCTGTACGCTTAATCTTATAGGAGTTCCGTGTGTGTTCGCGTGTGTGTGTTCTAGAAATGCTTCCTATGGTTTATGAAATAGTTTTTCTAAAATAAAAAAATTTAGATTTTATAAAGAGATTGGTCATAAGTACATTTGATATGTAAAAAGTACAAAATTACAGACAGAATACATAAACAATAGTCCTGATGCACATAGGAATAAAAGTAAAAGGAATAAAACCAATTTTAGCTTTTTTTTTTTTTTTTTTTTTTCCCCTAAATTTGGTGACAATCTCGCGTCTATAGGGGCTGACCAGATATCTGCTGCTGGGTGCGGTCTGTGAGATATTGGACTAGCAGACAAAGAAGACCTTGATTTTTTTTTTTTTTGCCCTTGCGCCAATGTTTCTGCCCCGCCTCTCTACTATCAGAATGTATATACCCGCACTTTCTCTTCTCATGAACAGGAATGGCTATTCATGGATCGCAATTCACCCAGTTTTTGCTGAACCAGCCAATTTTCAATCCATGTATGGCCAGCTTTATTCTGCTAGCATATCTACCACTCCCCTCCCCCAAGATTAACAATGCTGCTGTCCAAAGGTGTCTTTGTTGCTCCTTAATCCAGAGTGTAGATCTCCTAATACAGGAGGTATATTACTAGCCAGATCACCAAAAAAAGAAGAAAAAGCATAATAAATGAAAACTATTGCATCCACTGCATTCACCTTTGGGAACATGTTACATGTTCCACCCGTTTTTAGCCGCACCCCCCCCCCCCCATTATCTGTTAGATTTGAAACCGGCACGGCCATGTGGGGCTCTGCTCACACAGCCGTGTCATTCATTCACTGACTTTCGTGAATGAAGGAACTGCCAGTCCCGACAGCCTTAGCGGCTGTGAGCTGGTAGTTTTCAATGAACTACCACAGTGCTGTGGAGCACCATAGTAGTTTGAGTCTTCCTATCTATCTGCTTGGCCATATATCCCATACGGCTATCAGATATTCTGACAGGTCTGCAGGAGACCTGCATGGCATCAGTGATCTACTGATTGCTGGTGCAATGCTTTCCAGGCTCCTTTTGGGCAAAAATAATAAATGGACATTTGTTTCAACAGCAAAAAAAATGTGCATTTTATTATTTTTGTCCAAAAGGTGAAGTTGTCCTTTTTAAGGATTGGTAAGCTGTAAAATATTACATTTTTGATTTGGGATTTAATACTGCTTTAATATGAGAAATGATCTCTATGAGTAGGTCCCTTTTAACACACTCTTCTCTTGTTTTCCTAGTGACTTAAAAGGAATAAATGTTCACTAGGTTCTCTGTTGGACAAAAGGGAAAGTTCTTCATAGCACCTAATCATCAATCTTCCCTTGTGTGAACCATCATTGTGTTGTATGTCGCCTTATTAATTAAGCCTGTTTATACTTCCTACTCGTGAAGTGCAGTATAATGAAGCTTGCTGAGGCATATTTTGGGTTTTCACCGATAACAAAGAAAGTTGCTTTTAGAAAATAACTGGAATTTGTTTCTTATTTGTAAATATTTGTAGGGTATCTAGGTTTATAAATGAAAATACATTAATGGAAATTTTTCCCTAAATTAAAACATCTATAGCAGGTCTATATCTATGTTTGCTAGGCTAGATCAAAAGATTAAAAATCTACATCAGATGAAAGTGGCACAAGTCTAAAACGAAAAAATTCTGTGTTCAAAAAAGGTGGCTAAACTGTCTGCTTAGAAAAACTAAAGGGATCCTGTTAGGAAGGAAAACACCTTTGTGAGAAAAGTTTGATGAAAGCATACATTCCAAGTCATTTATTGGTTTTGAGGCAATCCCTGACAAGAAAGTAGAATGTGACATATGAATTAGTGCTGCTTCCAGCAGAATCTTTGCACACAGGTGTTTTTGCTGTTAGGTGTAAAATCCTAAATTACATTTATCTTAAATGGCTTAAATTGATAACCTCAAACTGGTGTCACTGGAGTAGCAAACCATCTGCTCTTCCAGGTGTCTGTGTGTGTTTTAGTTTTTTTGGGGAAATATCTGTGCCAAATTTTAGTTAACTTTTTTTTTCCTGTATATTTTCATAGCCTGAAAAGTTTACCGTGTTCGGCCACTGGCACCCTGATGAACAGAAACATTTCACGACCTTGATGGGCTGAATAGGTAAAATCACTTTCTTGTTCATTTCACTATTCATAATTAATATTCAGGATTTTTTATAATGTCAACAGATTGTACAGTTCTTTACAATAGAAAGGGATACCACACAATATAATTGCAGTGTGTGCGCGATTAGAGATGCTCCAATTTTTATAAATCTGCATATTTATAATTTGTTTAAAAAAAAAAAAATCACAGCTTTGTATATTTGCTTTTTTTTTTTTTTAGGTCATTTGGATCCATATTTTAAGGTGCCGACTTTGGAGATGAGGACTTCAGAAGAGCAAGCAGCCACCACAGTGTTGCAGAGACTGCTGCAGGAGCAGCTACGTTACGGGAATCCTAATGATAACCGTAACTTGCTGGCATTGCATCAACAAGCCACAGGGAACATTCCTCCCTACACTGGTGGACTTGGGCCTCAGAGCGAAGGACTGACTTCTCAGGAGTCCCAGTTTGTTCCACATGCTGCCCGGCAGGAGCCACAAGGGCAGGAGATCCAGGTGGAGAATATGATGGAGAAACAGCTACCACTAAGAGTTCAGAACAGTGAAGACCTCCCTACTTATGAAGAGGCCAAAGTTCAGTCTCAATATTTCCGAGGACAACCTCATGCTAGTGTTGGAGCAGCGTTCTATGTAACTGGGGTGACCAATCAGAAAATGAGGACTGAGGGTCGTCCTACTGTTTCAGAGGGTTAACACAGGAAAAGTTCACCAAGACGATGGTTTAAAGGACTTAAAGCAGGGCCATGTACGGTCACTGAGTGAGAGACTTATGCAGCTGTCACTAGCTACAAGTGGAGTGAAGGCCCATGCTCCTGTTACCAGTGCCCCTCTTTCCCCACAACCAGGGGATTTCTACAAAAATTCTGTGTCCAATGAACTGTACAAAAACCATTCTCAAAATGGAGGACAAAAAGTAATTGAGTATAGGGGTCCTCCACCTGACTATCCATTCAAGAACATCTCCACTCTCCCTTCACATGGGAAAGCCAAGGAAATGGGTTACCATTGTGGGGACCCCAGAGCCAATCCACAGAACCGCTCAGATGGACCAATGGTTCGTTACCAGCCTCCACCAGAGTATGGATCATCCAGGTAGGCAATTTAATGTTTTTTTTGGCAAACACAACTACATAACAGTCTACTGTTCCATTTATGTATTGCACTTGATAAGTCCCTGCAACTCCACCAGGCTTTGTGCTCCAAACACAGGATATAGTATTGTATAATCACCTCAGGAGTCACTTAATTGTTAACATCCTGTGGTAGTATGTAAGTAGATAATCCCCCAAAAACGTGTATGGGACTTTAAGGCAACTTCAACATAAAAAAAACAGCTTAAGTCCTCATGCACATGGAAGTTTTTACAGCGGCTGTTTTTGTCTTTTGACGCTTTTTTCAAAGCCTGGAAAAAAAAACCCCAGAACTTCTAGAGTAGTTTTTTAGCTGTAAAAATGCTGTAACGTGGTAAATCAAGGGCAAACCAGCGTTTTTGGACTTTTTTTTTTAGCAAAAAACCCACAAAAAAATGCTAAAAAAGTGCAAACGGAGAAAAAAGTAAAAGCTGCTAAACGCTAATGCAAAAATGCTAAAAACCACTGAAAACCTCACATTTTTAACGTGACTTTACGCAGCTAATATTACCAGCGTAATTAAAACGTCCAGTGTGCATGGAGCCTTATTGTTACAAATGTTAAAACATTACATTTTAAAAAACCGAGAGATTAAAACGCAGTGTGGTGGCTGAGTACATTTTACAGATTGAACATGTTGATACAGAACACGTGGACACATATCTTCCAGGACATAGGTATGGATGAGCATAGGAAGGCCTGCCCTCTTAGGTTAGTAGTCTGAACTGACGCAGAAGTTCTAACGTCGGTACTGTACCTATAAGCAAGGCAAAAAATAAAGTACTCTATTAATGAAATGGTTTTACCCCCTACATCATTATTTCTTGCTACTGGTAGCACTGTTAGTGTGGTAGGCTGGAGGGATTATACTTAAAATGGAAATAAATGTAAAGCTCTGGTTGTGGCATCCTAATTAAGGGAAACTAAAATTAAGGGAAACTGGCAGTGAAGCCTTCTGGCTTCACAGCCGGTTTCATACTGGGGTGTGCGCAAGTGTCACTGTGCTTTATGATTGGTCTCGCAGTCTTCTGGGACCTGTGATGTGTCCCAGAAGGCTGCAGGGGGAAAAATGAGTGACCAGAGATCGCTGCGGTGAACTCAGCTGGAAGTGGGAGCAGGTACCTGGTTTTCACAGGAGCCCTCCCCCAAAAGTTCCAAATGTGGCAGTGGAGGAAGGGAGGATGCAAGTGGAACTTCTCCTTTTGGGTGGAGTTCTGCTTTAAAAAGTGAATTGATTTGCTATTTAGAAATCTTAATTTTAGCCAAGTAGTACCTTGAAAAATCGACCTATTTGTCTAAAATTTCTCCAGAAAATTGGCAGTGTACTGTTTTGTGAGGGAGCCTAGGAACTCATGTGCCTACAGCCTGATAGCTGTATATTTGCAAGTGGGATGTAAGGTACTATAGCCTTTGACTGCTAGCGTCAGGAGATATAGTGTGAGATTTGGTTATGTCACTATGTGCTGCTTGCTGTTCTCGTTGCTGGGGGCTCTGGCACAAGCCCTGCGACTACTGAGGTGGCCACCTCCCTAAAGAGACAGTGCCGAACAGGGCATGGTTAGTCCGTAAAGATCAGCAGTAGGGAGATCACAGGCTATAGTGGCGACTAATCCTCTGACTGCCTCTTCTAGGCTCAGCTTCCATAGGTTAGTCCCTCAGCAGATAGTGTTAGCTTTGGAAAGTTCTTTTTGGCCTATTGGTCTTGGCGTTCTTGGCCGATGGTGAAGAGGCTGGTGGTGATTTGGTTTCTGTGTATATTTTATTGTGCTTATTTACTTTAAGTTGGTTTTAAGTTAAATGAGTGAGCCTGTTCTCAGTCCACAATCACATCATTGCGACTTGTCATGTGATTTGATAGTTTCTAATCACGTGATAAGTCGCACCCTATTGTCTGCAATGGAAGTGTTCATATCGGTGCGATTCTGACTCTATCAGAGTCGCACTCTTTTTTTAAATTACTTCATGCACTAATTCTTGCAAGTTCAGGTGTGACTTGCATAGTCCTCTGTGCATGAAGTCGTACAGATGTCTTCCAAGTTGCATCTGAAGTAGGACTGGCATCCGACTTTGAAATTGTGTGAATTCGGTGTGACTGAAGACTTAATGAGTACATTGTACGTTCCTGCTTGTGTGCGTGAGTGTGCACTGCTCAGATTATTTTTTATTTGATGTTCTCCGGGGAATTTGTGTTGAAAAGTCCCTATTCTTCTTTTGCTTACTCACCTGTTTAACTTGTGCATGCAATAAGAGATGCTTCTCATTCCTGGGAGGGTAGTGTGTTCCGTATTCCACAATAGTGTTAATTACTGTTTATAACGTGTGGCAAGTCTTGCTAACCAGACCAATGAGGCACGCACATGTTGTGATGGGGTTTGTCTTCAACAATGATGGACATATTTTACTTGGGCTGACACCATTTATGAGGTGAAGGCGTTTGACAGGTTTTGAGGAGTAGAATGTTTACACCACAAAGCAGTCAGGAGAAGATCTTATAAGACACATTTTAAGTATTTAGTATGTGGTCATAAATTCTGAAGAGGAGAGAGTGTCTGTCTGGGGATTGATGACAGAATGCTGTATCCTACTATATGTCTCACCCTTTGGACTTTCCCATGGTACGGTGCTGCAGTCATTTTCCTTAGCCTGAAATGGTTTATAATTTTGAATAGGTATCACTTGGCAACTGTATGATGGAAAATTTCTCATTTATGGCTTTCTTCACACGTATTTGGCAACGGTAAAAGAAATATTTACTGATCATGAATTCTGTACTTACAGTGCAACAGAATGTAAAGGCTGGGCATCAGGATCCCTTTTGTATATTACACTGTTTGCATAGGGACCTGAGCTGGCCATTACAATGAATATCCACACCCAATATATAGATGTGTGTGCGCAATGCTTGTACATATAGTAAATGGTGATCTCCTGTAAGTGTGCAGATTATTGTAAATAATAATGTATAATGCTGTTACATTTGTAAGGAAAATAAAAATATATTTATATATATATATATATATATATATATATATATAATATATATATACAGTCATGGCCGAAATTGTTGGCACCCTTGATATTTCTCCAGGAAATCATGTATTTCTCACGAAACGTATTGCATTAACACATGTTTTGCTATACACATGTTTATTCCCTTTGTGTGTATTGGGACAAAACAAAAAAAGGGAGGAAAGAAAGCAAATTCGACATAATGTCACACAAACCTCCAAAAATGGGCTGGACAAAAGTATTGGCACCCTTTCACAACTGCGGATAAATAAGAATGTTACAAGCATGTGATGCTCCTGTAAACTCACCTGGGGCAAGTAACAGGTGTGGGCAATATAGAAATCACACCTGAAAGCAGATAAAAAGGAGAGACGTTCACTTAACCTTTGCATTGTGTGTCTGTCTGTGCCACACTAAGCATGGACAACAGAAAGAGGAGACGAGAACTGTCTGAGGACCTGAGAACCAAAATTGTGGCAAAATATCAACAATCTCAAGGTTACAAGTCCATCTCCAGAGAACTAGATTTGCCTTTGTCCACAGTGCGCAACATTATCAAGAAGTTTGCAACCCATGGCACTGTAGCTAATCTCCCTGGTCGTGGACGGATGAGGAAAATTGATGAAAGATTGCAACGCAGAATAGTCCGGATGGTGGATAAGCAGCCCCAAACATGTTCCAAAGACATTCAAGCTGTCCTGCAGGCTCAGGGAGCATCAGTGTCAGCGCGAACTATCCGTCGACATTTAAATGAAATGAAACGCTATGGCAGGAGACCCAGGAGGACCCCACTGCTGACACAGAGACATAAAAAAGCAAGACTACAGTTTGCCAAAATGTACTTGAGTAAGCCAAAAGCCTTCTGGGAAAACGTCTTGTGGACAGATGAGACCAAGATAGAGCTTTTCGGTAAAGCACATCATTCTACTGTTTACCGAAAACGGAATGAGGCCTACAAAGAACAAAACACAGTACCTACGGTAAAATATGGTGGAGGTTCAATGATGTTTTGGGGTTGTTTTGCTGCCTCTGGCACTGGGTGCCTTGACTGTGTGCAAGGCATCATGAAATCTGAGGATTACCAAAGGATTTTGGGTCGCACTGTAGGGCCCAGTGTCAGAAAGCTGGGTTTGCGTCCAAGATCCTGGGTCTTCCAGCAGGACAATGACCCCAAACATACGTCAAAAAGCACTCAGAAATGGATGGCAAAGAAGCGCTGGAGAGTTCTGAAGTGGCCAGCAATGAGCCCAGATCTAAATCCCATTGAACACCTGTGGAGAGATCTTAAAATTGCTGTTGGGAAAAGGTGTCCTTCCAATAAGAGAGACCTGGAGCTGTTTGCAAAGGAAGAGTGGTCCAAAATTCCGGGTGAGAGAGGTGTCAGAAGCTTATTGATGGTTATAGGAAGCGACTGATTTCAGTTATGTTTTCCAAAGGGTGTGCAACCAAATATTAAGTTAAGGGTGCCAATACTTTTGTCCAGCCCATTTTTGGGGTTTTGTGTGACATTATGTCATATTTGCTTTTCTGCCTCTGTTTTATATTTGTTCCAATACATACAAAGGGAATAAACATGTGTATAGCAAAACATGTGTTAATGCAATACCTTTTTTGTGTGAAATACTTGATTTTCAGGAAAAATATCAAGGGTGCCAACAATTTCGGCCATGACTGTATATATATATATATACATTTTTTTTCTTACAAATATAACAGCATTATACATTATTATTTACAATAATTGCACACTTACAGGAGATCACCATTTACTATATGTACAAGCATTGCGCACACACACACCATAAGGTAATCTATGGTGTTGACTAGACTTCAAACTTTTCAGTACAAGGGCCACATTGTATGATTTTCAAATATTCGTTACGTTTTACTTGGAGTTTTTTCTAATCAACATGATGTAAATCAAAACAGAGAAAGAACTTCAGTAAACAAAGT